TATATATATATAATATATAGAATATAAATATGAATAATTTATAATATAATTAAATAAAAATGATCGGAAATGCAATAAATTTAATTAGTAATATCCTTATATCTATTTATCGGTGTGATAATTATTTTATCTACCTTTTCATTTTAAAAAAGAATATTTCTTTTCTTTAATTAATGGAATTTATTTTTTATTCCAGCTAAAATAATGTCGATTTCTTTTTCACCGATCTTATGGGCATTTTGATTTTTGAATCGAATTTATTATTTTTAGGAATATATAATTATATATATTTTATATAAATTAAAATTATTATTATTATTATTAATATTATGATTTGGTTGTATTTAGAATGCATATTCGTAATTTTCCGAATCTAAATTAATCAAAAATGTATCTTAATATTGGGAATATTACGAAGATATTTTTCATTTATATGAATATAAATTGAATTTGTATTTCTTGAATTTCTTGTGCGGAAATCGAAAATTTATAATTTCTTTGGAAAATATTATGTTGTATTTTCCAAACAAAATATTATTTTTTTATTATTATTTTTTTTTCCTTAGTGAATTATTAGGCAAATATAGCCCGGTCCGTCAGGGACGGTCGGGAATTCGATTTGCCCTACAGGTCCGTCCCGACCCCCTGCGAATTATTACCCTTACTAGATTCTTATTTGCCTAGATTCTGCATTATTCTTTCTGTATCCTTTCAAAATATGTACCTCTGCGAAATTGTGCTTGCTTCCTTGGCCTGTGCGCGCTGTTTTGGGGAGCTTCTTTGGGACGCGACTTTCTATAGTAACTTTGGGGAGCAAGCTTTGGGAAACAATTCTGGGGAACAATTTTGCGGCTTTACAGCAGTATTGACAAATAATTACTTTGAAGAACGGCAGCTTTGGGGAGCAGCTTTAGCAAGCAACTTTGGGCAATTGCTTTCGGCAACAACTTTAGGTGGAAGCTTTAGCAGCTTTGGGGAGCAACTATTCGGAGTTGCTCTCGATAACAACTTTGGGGAGCGGCTTTGGGGAGCAGCTTTGTGGAACAACTTTCGGGAGCAGCTTCGTCAGCTCTGCACTTAATTTTCCATATTTAAAGGAAATGTCGTAGAAATATTTCGCTTTTGATGTTGTGAATTTCGAAAATTGATGACGGCGGCTTACAGAATTATTTGGTTTCTGACATTAATAAATTCAAAAATTAAGGAAATCTCGCAAAATAATTTTGTTTTCAAGTTTGCAACAAGACAAATAGACAAAGAAATAGAGAGAGATAGAGAGATAAATTGAATTGAAAGATTGATAGATTGATAAATTAATAGATTGATAAATTTATAGGTGATTAAATTGATAAATTTATAGATAAATATATTTATATATCAATAGATTATTTAATTTATAAAGAAAGAGATAAATCGATAGAAAGAAACATAAAACAACAAATGGATAAACAAAGAATTGGATAATTATATTATATCCAAAAAATATGAATAAATAGATGAATATAAAAATAAACAAATATATAAGTAGATAGATAGAGCGGCAAATAGATAGATAGATAGATATAAAGATAGATAAATAGATAGATAGATAGATAGATAGGGGGATAAATAGATAGATAGATAAATAGATATTAAAAATAGATAGGTAGATAGATAGATAAATAGATAGATAGATATATATCTATATATGTATATAATTGCATATATATATATATGAAGAGAGATAGAAATATAAATATATAGATATATAGATAAATAAATAGAGAGAAAGGTAGAAAATTTAAAGATATAAAGATACGAAGATATAAAAATAGAAAATTTCAACGATAAAGATATAAATATATGGAGAAAAAAATGGATAAATAAATAGATAAATAGATATATAAATAGGCAGATAGATAGGCAGATAATCCGATATTCCAACCATCTTTCGATCCACCAATGGATTCGCCCTGCCATCCATCCTATACGTGCTTTGAAATTTCCGCCACCTTCTTGCACGGTATTATTGATAGAATTTTCTTTGGATTTTTTTTAATTGGTTGATTTTATGTGGATCGATTTTTGGTATTTTATTTTCATTCTGACATGTCATAATTTCAAAATATGTTGTTTTCATATTCTTACTAAATATTAGTCATATCATTTAAGGATCTATTTATGAAAACGAAAATGAAATGAAAATTATTTTTTTGAAATTCTAATATTTCCCCCTGTAATATGTCATGTTAGAATTCAAATTTGGATCTGTAATGAAAGGTAAGGGGGGTTGAAATGATCTAAGAATATGAATAATGAATATGATGATGATGGTAATGATGATAATGATGATAATGATGGTGATTATCTTGACAATGAAAATAATAATGAAGGATGAAAGATGAAATATAGAGAAAAGATAATTGATGAATAATGAATGATAAAAAAAAAAAATCCTAAAAAATAATTGATGAAAAATAATGAATAATAAATGATGAATTTTGAATGATAATAAATATATAATAATTAAAAGTAATATTGAATTTAAAAAATAAAAATAAATAAATAATTATATAAATAAAAAATGAAATTGTATGATAATTTAATATAAAATAAAAATATTATATTATATATATATTTTAATATTATTATAAATTATTATATATTATTATTTATTATCATATATTATCATATATTATCGTGTATTATTATGTATTATTATGTATTATTATGTATTATTATGTATTATTATGTATTAGTATGTATTATTATGTATTAGTATCTATTATTATGTATTATTATGTATTGTTATGTATCATTATATATCATTATATATATCATTATATATCATTATATATCATTATATATCATCATATCAATATATATCATTATATATCATTATATATCATTATATATCATTATATATCATTATATATCATTATATATCATTATATATCATTATATATCATTATATATCATTATATATTATTATATATTAATATATATTAGTATATATTATTATATATTATTATATATTATTATATATTATTATATATTATTATATATTATTATATATCGTTATATATTATTATATATTATTATAT